AATAAAATGAAAAATCTAGTAACAAAAGAATGTTGCTGCTGAATTTTAGCAGTGCCCTGGGAACTGCAGTTATTGAGACCCAGCATTCAGTAGATCATTTCAGAGCAATCACCATCTGTCAAGGCCCAACATATCTTAGAGAGTTGTTATGGAGGAAGAACCACTCCATACATTGCAAGCTCATTGATGAAAAGTGGAATATAAAGCTAATGGATAACAATCACATCTTTTTACAGTTTAATATGAAAAGTAGGCTACCTAATATTTCAGGGAAGTGGTAAGCAAAAAAAGATATATGGACTCTGTGGAAAAAAAGTGCCAGAGTTCTCACATTCTAAGTGCCAGTGGTCTTTTCAAGCTTTGAAACTCTCAATGTTTCCCAATCTTGTCATGAATAAATGGAGTGGGCCATTTAGTTTCAGTCTAGCATACGTTTCCCACTTGTGTGCAGAAGAGAAACTTCTCTGATACAAAAGTAAGTCCTGTTACATTGCATTCTTCTGCAGAATTCATCACGAAGGAGTTCCTTTTCCTTTCTAAGTCACACTGTTGAAATTAGCCTCCACAGCAAAACATTTTGTAATAATAATAATAATTTATTCATCATGAATGCCTTCTGACTCTCAATGACTGAATAGTTTTCACATGTGAAAACTTGGGATCCAAATCATATTCCCCACTGTGGATATTTGGACTGTACTTAGGGTGATTGTCTCTTCAGTGATGTCATCAAGCAGGACTTGAGAAAGGTTGCTTATTTGTTGAATTCTAAATGGAAAAATATTACTTAATTGGTTTTATTATTTTTGAGCTGTGCCTATTTGGTTGCTGCACTAGTTACCTATAAGCTTCCAAACAAATCCGTTGTTATCTATAAGATTTACATGGTGCTGTGTCAGGTTATTTGGAAGTCCAGCTTCTTCAGAAATGATTTTTCTCATTGTACAAAGTCATCAAGAAACACGCTGCTTAGAGTGGTGATGGTGGGGAAACTGGACCAGAGTTAGCTTTCTCTGTAGCTGCTTCAATGCTCTGAAACATTTTGCCTCAGAGGTATGCCTTTGTTATGCAAATTCCAAATCTACTTTACTTTGTCACAACAGAAATTATTTGTATTCTCTATTCTATAGTATACCATTTATGTCTTGGCGCTGAACAAATGTTCAGTGATGAAGTTAGCAGCATTGCCATCCAAACAGAAAATGCTAATGCCTCCTAATCATTATTTGCAAGGGATTGTGTTGCGGTGAGATTAAAGAAGCACTGATAAAGGAAAAGGTTAGATGAGCTATGATGCAGCATCTGTATGTGTTTTAAGAGTGTACCTTCTCTCATCATAGCTTCTCATTTGTTTAGCTTTATCATCATTTTATTTAATTGCATTTTTTTCAGTTCCATGGAGTAAAGCATCAAAAACGGGGGACGTGGCAATTTTGCAAAATATTGGAACAGCATTTTGCAATTGCTCTTAAATTATGAGCATGGCATTGCTTATGAAAAACCAGCTAATGAGTGATATATTTAATAAATGCAAATCATGTGGATACTCATTTTAATACAGTCAGAGAAGCAGATATATCATGAGGTAACCATCAAAGTGAAAATAGAATTTTGTGAAATGATCCAGGATATTCTTATTCACAAGGGTGTTCCACAAATAGATCTTTGAGACAACTCTGCAGATCTGCATGAAGATTGTAAACTTCAGAAAACTAACAGTTTTCTCAATTGCAATAGAAAATAAAGGAAATTATAATTCCTTCCTTCCTTCCTTCCTTCCTTCCTTCCTTCCTTCCTTCCTTCCTTCCTTCCTTCCTTCCCATTCCAATTTGAAAGCCATTTTTGGCTTCAGGCAGAGATAGAACCATCATACCAGTAAGATATCTCTGGATTGTTTGGTGTTTTTAATTAACAAATATCAGGACATATTCTATCTCTCTAAAATTATTTGGTGTGGCTTGCTTAATGAGTGAGTACAGTTCAGAGGACATTTCAGTTTGTGAAGAAATTATAGGTATGCTCTGAAGTATTATAGAATGTAAGAAGTCTTTGTGCTATTTTTTTCCTCTTTCTTCCACAATGAGAGAACTGTGTGTGCTTTCCTTAAGGTCCTCTTTGCAATTCTAAGTTCCAAAGATAGCTACAGTAAATTATATGAAAAAATACAATTGGTTTGTTAGAAGTAACTTGAATTATTTTTGGCTCATATGATTGCACATCCTGATCTATTAATGTTTTGTACTTTATTATGTTTCTGTGTATGTGTGTGTTCTGTTTAGTATTTATTAATTTGGAGCAGTTAGAATTATTTTAGTTAATTAAGTACATTAACATTCACAACAAGTGTAGTAGTGAAGTTGACAGAGCAGCTACTGATTTAATCTAATGCTGTAGTTTTGAGATTTTGCTTCATAAGCTTCCATAGACCAAATTTAGAAAGTAAGTATAAGGCTTTGATAGATCTTATCAGGTACGACAGAATTCACATCTGTCACAGCAGGTAGGATGCTAGCACCACAGTCACTATTATTAAGAATTTGTGGCATTGTCAGGCTAACTGCTGAGCTCATCCTGGAGTTTGTGTTTTTTAAAGGGCTCTTACTCCCAATATCATGGGGAGACATGTTCTTGGCTTCTGCAGAACACCTGAATTGACTTTTTGGCTAAATCTGATCTATGTTGAGCTTTATATTTTTTTAAGCCATTCCAATTAAAAATACACCAACATATTTTTGAAATAGATGTTTCAATTTATGTGTATGTCCTTAAATATTTGAAATATATTTTTCAGTTGTTTTGTTTCATGGGTACTATTTTCTCTGTAACTATTCAGCATTTATAATTCATAGTCATTATAGACATTGTTCTGTAGTCTTCATTTATTTAACCAGTCAGAACAGAAAGCTGTAATGACTTTTTCTTTTCTTTTCTTTTTCTTCTTCATCTCTTTCTCTCAGGTAGGAAGGAATTAAAGTCATCATGATGATACACTAATTTTTTCTGTTTCAGTTACTTAATTAAAAAAAAAGCAGCATTAGGCCTAATTCCAAAATGATACCCCAAATTGATATCTCTTGTCAATTAAGCTTCATTTTCTGTATTTGAATGAAATGGCAAAAATACTTTGTTATGGATTTTATGAACAAGTTTTAACAGAAAGAGGAGATAAAAGCCTGACAGCCTAAGACTCATTTTGCCTCTTGTTCAAAGCATCCTGATTTTGCAATTATGTTCTGGATCACTTTTTACAGTATTTATTAAATAAAGTTAAGAGCTTTTTATAATTCAGTAAGCAATTCAAAATATTTCCCCTGACTCATACCAATACTATTAGTTGTTAGTCCAGTTTTGTAATTGCAAACTCAAAAAGAATAGAAGAAATCATTGATTGAGTCCAAGAGCTATAAGTGAGTGAAAAGTAAAAGCAGACACTTCGACGTTTACTGGAATATTGGAATATGTTGCTGACTGCAAGGAAATAAGATAATTTCTTTTCTGTTTCTGCAAATATGACCAGAATGTCTTCCTCCACCTACTCCCATTCATCCACTTTATATCACTCATCTAAAACATTGTCATTAGAACATGCTGCTGGGTTTTTTTGGGGTTTTTTTTTTTGAAAAGTTACCTGAAGGCAGGAAGACTTTTAGTACCTTAGGCATCTTGTGAGGGATCTTGCAGGCGTATGTGAGGCATCTTGCAGGCGTATGTGTAAAAGATAGAGTTTGTATTATAATATCATGATACATATTTTGTCATTAAGTAAAAGCTTACTAATTGAATGAATACTTCTTCAAAAGCCTACTCTTTGCATCTCAAAGTGCTGCTGCTGTTTACTAAATATCAGGGAAGAGATTGAGAATACGTTTTGGAGACTTCATACCTGTCTTCGCTACCATCTGGCAAACATATAGATGCAAGCAAATAAAATGCAAGCAAATACATCTAAATAGAAGGCTCAAACATTTAGGTGCAATGACACATATATATGTTGGCTTAAGTAGGGATTGGCTGAATGTGCTTTCTAGTATTCTAATCATAGGCGCTAGGCAATCCATAGGGGAATCTGTCTATCTAAATATTCTTAATTATTTTTCACAATACTTGACATAACTTCCATATTAATAGATTATTTTTTCGCTTACGTGTCTAGTTTCTAAAGAATATTATGCTACAATTCAATAAAAAGAATTAAGAATTAAGTATATTGTAAAATAACACTCTAAATTATAGTTATTATCATACATTATCTCAAGTTTGTGAAAACATCGATATAGGTAAATTGTGTATGTGTGCGCATGAATGTGTGAATAAAATGCCCATCTTGGCTTGTGACTATTGCATAAATCCTTTGATTTAATATTGGAGAAGAGGTCCAATATTCTACTGTCTATGCAGATTAGTAGGTTTTGTGCTTACTTGAATGGTGTTAAAAAGAAGTAATTTTCTTTACAAATTGCTATGGTGCAGGATTCTTGTTCTATAGCCAACTGTCAATTATCTGGATAACTTCAGTCCATTGAAGCCGAGTGTAACTCAGGCAAATTGAAAGGGTTACTGAAATGAGAAATCTGCACTAATGTGGTACATTGAGTAGACAAGTTCTATATTCAAAGTCCTACATCTTTTGATTTAGTAATATTTGGATTAAGTTTAAAATTGTAATACATTTCCAAATTTATGGGTTATGAAGGTGCTAGTTCTTGGTACTTGTGCTAGCTGGATTTTTCAAGTAAGGATAAGGTTTGTGGCAGTTGCTTTGGCCAGGACTGATTTTTTTTTAAGATGTGCAACATTTTTGAATAGTTTCAAAGGTGACTCTAGATTTGATTCAAATTCCTTTTAGATAATCTTGTACCAGGCGAGAAAAATTCTTCAACATGAAAAGGGATAATAGCTAAAAACAAAAAGAGGTGAAACAGAAATGTCTGTGTTTTGGATATTTTAAGACATTTACCTTACTTACTACTTTATTGTTTATTTTTATCTTCCCCTGACAGTAGAAGAAAATGAATCAGAGGACCAGGAAGGAGTGGAACAGTCAGCAGTGCCGATAGGTAATTTCCATGCCTACCATCGTATTTCTCTGTTTTCTAGAAACATGACACATATTTGGTTTGTTCTCATCATGCAGAAAACAATGAAACATTGAAATAGAGATATGGACTTCTAAAACTCATGTTTTGTAAACATGAGTTCTCCTTCAGTTATTTAAAAAGAACATTACATAGAACACTTCTGTTATGCTTCTGAAGCAGATCTGTGTACAAATTAGCTATTTGTTGATCTATTTTCTAGAAGACCAATTTTTCCGTTTGGTTTACACAGGATCATCTGCCTATTTTTTTAAAATAGTGGAAGTTTACACATGGGGTGTGAGTTTATCACAAGGAAGCGGCAAAAGAAGAATAAAACTTCTTTACATTGCTCTGGCACGTGCACATTTCTGGATTATGGCCAGGCATTTCTGCAGGCTGGTTACTTTCACAAATAAGCATGCAGTTTAAATCTTAATCCACTGATTTTGTTAGTAGTCACTGATCCCTACATTTAAGTCACTGGGAGTTTTGCAGATAAAAGACTGAGTTCAGTCAGCAAGATTTTAGGCTGGAAATTTGACCTGTTCATTATAATAAAGGTTAATAACATGTTGTTTCTTATAACAGCTCTTTCTTTAGTTTTTTGCTTCTGCTTTGAAAAAAATTGTGCTATAGGGACAATTAAGTCCTTTAGTTTGTTTGATTACTTGTTCTGGAAATAATAATTAAATATTCTTCATGAAAAAAGTGTTTGTATTGTATGTTTTATTGGTATTGGTTTATAGATTAAATTATGAAGATCCCTGCAATCTTAAAAAGAAATACTACTGATTTAATTGTGCTTTTCTTATATTTAAGAAGCTAAAAATACACGTTGCAATTGCACAAACCAGATTTTCCTGATTAGGTGCTTTCATCATTGCCAATCTAATAATCCCAACCAGCAGAGGACAATTTTTATACCTGGTGGGATTAAAGTCCAGTTGAAGTCCAACATATTTGGAAAGCTTCTAGGTGAAGAAGGCTGATAGATCAGACTGGATGATCCTTTGATAAAGTGATTTGGAATTATGCATAATATTATTAATTAATTAGTAATTAATTCATGATTTTCCGCTCTCAATAAAATTAGATTCACATCCAGATTTTTGGAATGGTGTATATGTTATATTTGCCTATAATAGCAGTCCAGTACAGCAGATTAGTTGTTTAACTAAATTCTTATTTTTTTTTTAACCTGATGTTTTTGGATATTTATATAACTGATAGGAGAAATGAATTTTTATTTGAAAGAAAATAGGTATTTGTACAATTATTGTGAGGGTAGGAACATATTTTCCAATGTGTTTGTCTTGTCAGTTTTTAAATATCTATAGTAAGTGATATCACTCCATGTTGCTATTTAGTTTTAGGTAATTTGTACTAAAATATAATTGACCATTTGACATGTAATCTAAGATTGGCTTAGCTGTCAGAAAAAGCTATACTGCACAATACAAACATACACTCACTAATTCATGCTATCTTTCTGATATTAAAGTATTTTGGCCTTATTTATTTAATATTTAATATTTAATATTTAAATATTTAAATATTTAATATTTCAGTGCTATTAGAAACACCCACGTGGGATGAGTGAAACGTCCTTCAAGATCTTTGGAAATTATCACAGTTTATTATTTATTTCTTATATTTATATCTATATCTCTTTATCATTTATATCTACATCATCTGTATCTGTCTGTCTATCTATACACACACACACACACACACACACACACACACACACACACACACATGTTTGTAAGGTAAATAATAATTAACAAATCTTGGAAGAAACAAATATATAATTCTGTATCGTGGTAAAAGAAACCATAGAAAAAGAAGAGAAATTAGACCAACCAGAAATTTGTGCAGGAAAAATATGCCATGCCTGAATAATTTTAAATTTATGGGACAAATTTATTTCTGAAGATTGTAGTGAATTGCAAGAATGAATGATCAGCGTGCAAACAACTTTGTGAACTACCCCTTTGTTTTTGCTACATTCTTACCACAACACACATAGATACTAATTTCTCTACAAGATGTACCTTTCAGTCAGCTAATTATGCAAGCAGCATTCAGCTAATGCATACAAACATATTCCGGTCTCCTCCTCTTCTCCAGTACAGGAGATGGAGAATCCACCAATGGGTTTTCACTGTCTGCCTGCTCTTGAGACCAAGTAGCCAAACTTGACACGCTCCCTCTTGCTAGGAGACCCAGTCTTGACTTGGTCTCAAGGTCTTGAAGACATATAAAGGTTGGCTCTCAGGTTTAGAGATCTTCAATTCATTTAGCAGGTCAGATACCATTGTTGATTTCTCCTTGCTTTTAAATTTTATATTCCCTAATTAGTGATTCTCTTTCAAAAAAAAGTTAATTTCCCCCCCAAAATTCCCCCCCCCCCAAGACACTGGAATCAGCGCAGCCTCTAATCAGCTGATTTGAGGCCTCTGGGTGTGTGTGTAGGGGGAAAAGTACTTCTCCGCTCTTTTCCCAAGGACTCTGGGGGGAGGAGAAATTTTTTTTGTTTTTCCAATTCCCCGTGGGCTTTTCTGCACAACACTCAGCGCTGCAGCCACAATCAGCCCCAGAGCCTTCCCCTCGTCCTCAACACTTCCGGAGGCTGTTTTAAATGGTCTGAAAGTTGTGGCCACCATTTTGGACGGCTGAGGAGCTCAGAACTCAAACGGAGGTTTTTCCTTCACCTTTGCAATCAGTTTCTGAAAAGTTTTATCTGGAGTTCTGCTTTACCTGCACAGCGCTTTGCACGGCAGTCAGCTTAACCCCACAGATTAATCTTACCTTGCCAAGCCTCCGGAGGCCGTTTCATATGGTCCAAAAGTTGCGGCCACCATTTTGGATAGCCGACGAGTCCAAAATTCAAATGGAGGTTTCCTTGCTTTTACAATCAGTTTTCTGAGAAAAATTAGTTGGAGTCCTGCTTTTTGAGACAGGGGCTTTCACAGCAGTCCCCTAATCAATCTCAGGAAGCCTTAACAGAATTTGCCACGGCCGCCATTTTGGGTGCGCCACGCGGTCAGCCTTGCATTGCCATCAGCCAGTTTATTGAAGGCCTCAACACGTTACAGGGCATTTCCATCAGACCTTCAGGCCATTAATTTCAGCACAGCTGAGAGACCATTCTAGCCCTGCATAGCGATTACCATTGGGCCTTATCAACTGTATCATTATTTACAGCCAATAATTAACTGACTAGGCCCAAATTCTCAAGCCACCATACTGTTTGAAGCCGCCATTTTGAATTCACATTGCCTCTGCCAGGCCTCATCTCAGGCCTTCTGCGCCCTTCATTGGGGCTTTTTTCTGGTGCACCTTGACTGGCCATCTAACGCCTCCAGGCTGAGCCCAGAGAGTGGCCCCAAACGTGCTTTCGACATCTGACTCAATTACCGTGACCAAAGCCCAGAGAGAATTTTTTTTTGCTAATCAGGTGGTCAGGGGAACAGTCTTGTTACTTGTTCCAATCTCGCTTCCGCCAGCAGCTTGCCTGCCAGAGCTTCACTTCAGCTTCCCTGATACTGCTTCACCAGGATGGAGGACTCCACGATGCCTCACCCCAGGGGCACTGTCTCTCCATCAAGTTACGGCTGCCACGATTCCTCTGAACAGGAGATGGGAGGCAAGCCAAAATTTAAGGCCAAGACCACGCTCAAGAAGCCTTCCAAACTGGCGGAAAAGCAAGCCAGCTGTAGGCACCAGACTCTGGAGAAGGAGTTCTCCAGAATGCAGAGACAGGCCAGATTGGACAGGGACACCCACAACACTTAGTTTCCCGCCTGAATGGTCACAACACACAGCTACCATGTTGGGTTCAGCTCCAGACGCCACCTTCACGACAACGGCCGCAGGCCTCAGGGGACCAGACATCATAGACATTTTCTCTGATGGCCATCTTGAGGCCTTGCTATACAGGGTTGTGGACCACGCTCTAGCACAGTGGTTCTCAACCTTTTTAATGCTGCGACCCCCAACCGGTCGTAAGTCGAGGACTACTCAACCGGTCGTAAATCGAGGACTACTCAACTGATGCAGCACCGTTTGCAGAATGGGACTTTTGGCGGGCTCAGCAGGGCAGAGACAGCCTGGACAATTTCTATTGGCTTTTGAAAGCCAATAGAATTAGACTCTATTCAAGAGAATAAAAGAGAGTAGCACAGCTAAGGAAAAGGGGGGAAAAATGGCAGACTGCGTTGTTTGGCGACCCCCCTGAAATGGTCGTTCGACCCCAAATGGGGTCCCGACCCACAGGTTGAGAACCACTGCTCTAGCAGAACGGTCCTTCCATCTATCTGGGCAGGGGACTTCTATGTTGGGCATGTCACCTTATGCCCCTCCTATGAGGTTTCCTATATTTCAGGAACCCACATCTCCTACACACTCCTCCATGAGCGGATTCTCATCCCTGCAGGATGAGGAGCAGCCCGAATTTAATCTATCAGAGGAAGAGGAACTTTCCCCTGAACTCTCCCCATCGAGGAGCTTGTTCAATCCAACTCTGTTTCTTCCCCTGCTTTGCAAGACCACTTCAACGGCATACATAGGGCTTGATCAGTTCCCTCTGCCACATGCAACATCGGACTCCAGCCCAAATCCGATATTTGTTGAAACGGTGGCAGCACAACATCACGTTCCATGTCCCTCTATTTTTGTTAAAGGGATCAAAAAACAGTGGGCCTCCCCTTCCTTCCTTCCCTCAGTAAGCGAGACTGATAAAAGGATTTTTAGCACTTCCACAGATCTCACTGAGACCCTGGAGGTTCCCAAGGTAGACGAAGCCTGGACCCCTCTGGTATCCCAGACAGCGGTTGCTGGGGACATGTCGGAGGTGCTTAAAGTGGACGACAGAAAATGGGACTACACCTTTCAGAAGACCCATCAGTCAGCAGCATGGGCAATTAAAATGGCCACTTGTGTGTCCTTCTTTGTGCGGACCACCCTATTATGGCTTC